GCCAAGGAGCCACCGTACGAGCCAACTTGCCAGGGCGATTGCGGTGCATATTCCATACCAATCAGTCTGCGATATGTGGGCGATATGGCCATACCAGAGGGATGTCGCTGGAGGCATTCTGCTAGTCGGGGTAGGTAGCCTGGGGAGCAGGGTGTATTTGTATCCCGTCTGCGGTGCCTTCTGAGAGCCCTAAATTAGATGCTTGCAACAGGGAAGTTGGAGTAAGCAGACTTAATGGGCATTAATGCGGGTGGTCTGTTCCATCTTACTCGATCTATCTTTGGACCCTGACCGGCGGCAGAATGACTGGGATCTAGGAAAGTGATAGACAAGAAACTGAGGGGCCTCTTTCTTAACACGCGGGCGAGATGTTTCCGAACTAGAGAAAAACTAACCGGCGCATGTATCAGGAGATGCTGTCACTTCCGTTAACTATACTACACTCACGTTATCGCAGATGGATCTCTGCCTTTACAATTTATTGACTATCCAACAAATGGCTACAATATGTCATCAACCTGCAGTATCACAAGCTCGATTTGGATCCGCTAATCATCTAGAACCAGGTCCGCTATCTTCAGGATATGCCAGAAATTCCTAAGATGTATCTTCGGGCCACAAAACAGAGGACAGGAGCCGCAAGACGTCTCGATAAATACAGAAAACACAATAGCGAGCTGACCCTTGCAACAGAGTCAGGAATGGGACTGATTCCTCAATCGTCTTCTTTTTCTCGGCTGTTGCATGGGTTGGGCGGGAGATACTAGAGCTAAGAGCTCTTCTATTTCGCGAGAAAGTGCCCTGTACTCCCTACTGCACTGTTGGTTCGTCTGATCCAGCAAGCGTCGTCGACTTCTAGCTCGTTCAAGCTGGTGTGTCAGCTTTGGCGCGTCAGTAGTAAAATCGATATACGCGCTGACATGTGAGCGCGTAACCGCTCTAGTAGAATGCCTTCTAGGAACTAGAGTACCATTATGAAACCTATCGCTAAGACGGGCAGGGCATTGATTAGGGAATGCATACGACGGAGTATTGTTGGCACTCACCGGGCGGTTCGTTCACTCTCGCTGGGAGCCTGACGGACAGAATCCGCAGAATGGGGATTATCCTGGCCCAGAGCATTTCTGGTTTCATGCGGTTGTTCGCCCCTCGAGTGATGTTTTTTACCTCTCATGCCAGAGCTATCGCCGCCCTTCTCCAGCTGCCTATTCAGCCATGATATGGATGGTATGGACTTCCCTATAGTCGTGAAAGGAGGTGCCACCAGAAACTCCTCGTCAGAGCTGCTGCTTTCATTTAGCTCAGAGGAGCTTTTCATTGGGGCTAAGCATATGAGTAGATGATTTTGGTTTCTCTCTCTCTTCAGAAGGCTTTGTGACATATTTGACTTACTGCCTGTAAAAAGAATCTAAATGTTTGTCATCGCATGACATAAAAACGCTACGACAGGGGACCATCAAAAATTGCCTTGATCCACTGTGGATGCTCAGTGATGGGCCGATGAACTTCAGCCCCCTCAGAGGACTAATTCTTGACGTTAGAGCGATGTTCGTTGTGGCTGCTTATTTGTCCGGTAACAACTCCTGTTGTTCCTGTGAGTTGACATGTAGATCCCAGGATCTCCAAGAGCCCTATGACCGGAGATGTATTTTCAGTATGCTACGTGGAATGCTCAAGGAATTTAGCGTTAGAAATGAGTTAGACTGGGCTATGTCTGGAAAGGTATGGTAGGATTTCGAAAGTACAGTAATGCTAGTCATTCCAGGATAAAAGCCAGCGGAGACAAATGGCGGATATAAAGGAGGCCCTGGTTCAGAAAGGTGAAATCAGAGTCTACTCGGCAGTTAACTGGCGGAGTTCGTAACTTAGTCCACCGCATATGGCTGTTCCAAATACCGTCCACGCCGTCTTGGCTACGATACTGTTGTTTTTGGCGACGACCCGTGCCGTGTTGTCCAGTCGCACGTTCCAACAGCACCCGTTCTATCAATGCCTAGATGCCACATCCTCGGCGATGCTTGCGGCCTTCCTCGCTGCAGTGGTAGCGCTCCGTTGGAGCCAATATCATTTACTCGGTTGAGTTCTCATCAATTAAGGCTACAGGAAACCACCGCTGATAATTCTGTGCCAGGTGCAGAGACCATTACATCTATAGCGGGCTTTTGCCCTCCACTTTTGGAAGTGAGTGGCTATGCACGAGGACAGGTAAGGTATATCCATGGATCATCGCTAACGAACCATTAGTATCTTCGACTTCACTTCATATTCTCTGATGTACCACAACCCTTGTCTGGGGCCAGGATATTTTATGCCTTATTATGCGCTCTTTATATCACTAAGGTGGCGGTCATCGTCGTCAGTCAGCTGGCTTATGAGCCGGCCCACTATGCCACGCCGATTCTCTCCGCCGTGGACTATATGAGCGTCGCCGCCGGTTACCTCCGTTTAGCCCAACACACTGTCGGGAACTCCCAATCTCAGCGACGTCTCGTTTGTGCAGTCTACGGCATGTTTGGTTTCTCCGGCCTTCTGCTAACTGTTGCGGCGATAGGAGTGTTATGTCGTGCTTGGGCCTTATCCCAAGAGGTATTATGCCCCGTCCTGCCCGCTGTTTCTTGCTAAGAGCCTTCGTGCAGGCACAAATGCTCCTAACAATCGCGTTGTCGGTCCGCCATGGGTTGAAAATGCCTCGCTACTCGGAGGTGGATGCCGCAAGGGGTTTCCCAACTTCTCCCCCAATTAGGAGAGCAAACCGTACGCGGAATTCTGATGACTACCATACATTTGTCGAATATCTCCAGTAATGAAGGCGGTTGGAGTGACTGGCAGGCAATGAACAACCACGCATCTGCATATCCGGGTTATTAGCGAAGTCCTCAATAACGAAAATACGAGACTACTGAGGCAAAAGGTTGCAAGTGTCCCGTAGAAGGGTGGAGATTGTTTCTTGAGGCACCTGTGATGTATTTCCATGACGTGCGACACAGTGGCCATCAAAGTACTTGTATAGGACCTCATTCCTCATGATGTTCATCCGCCATGAATTGCAACGCTGAGTCCACTCCATCCCGACATTCACAAATCTCCGCAGTCTCCGTCCCTCTTCAAATCTGGTGCGATCTGCCAATATGCTGACTATCCTGGTTATGCGAGCCAATGTCAGCCGAATCGACTATAGGATATTTACAGCATTTCAGGACCTCAGTGACGCCTTTTTCGATCTTTTGATGCCCTTCATTGTTGCATGACACCAGCACTTCAGTCTCCAAGGAACGGCGCTCTGTCTGCTTTTTCTCATCCAAGAGGCTGGCATTGGAATTATTTAACTGCTGGCTTCCTTTGTCGAGCTGCTGATTTTCGGCATCTTTGGCGACGTAAGGCTCCCACAAACGCTAATAGAGTGCTGCTAGACATGCGGCCTGTCCGGGAAGTATGGGTCCTTCCCGTTTAGTCGCCTAAGCCCACAGCCCAACGCACTGCGACGGCAAGAAAATTAACGCTTGTGTTTGGGGAGACGTTCCTGACGAAAGGCTTCGTACTGCACGATGCTCAATTTTCGATAGATATTGAAGGGTGTTGGCATCGGACGGAAGCTACCATTGTTATAAAGGAAATCTAGAACGGCTCCGCTGCAGGTAGAAAGGACCTCAGATCCATGTTCGTCTAATATTACACTGCAACATTAAGAGACCGTTGACACTCACCGGCCAACTCCGACTCTGGTTCTCATTCACACACTTCTGCTGTTACTCTACTATACCACTACCGAACCAACCCGGCTGCCAAAACTTGCCTTTGAAACATGAAGCGGCCGAGGTGTATCTGTCGTGCACGATTGCTCTCCCTATGGCTTCAGGCTGCTTTGGAAGAGAACGGTTTACCTCGATCGACACTACCGGAGAATAAGGAGCAACTTGAGCCACAACCCTTAGCATACCGAGCGGGGAGGGACGCGGATATGGAACATGAACGCCGACGGCGTTCACATGCTCCATCGCCCAACTAGCCTGCCCAACAAATCAAAGCATGCTACTTGGTATGTCTGTTCGGATTCCAGATATCGCTAGCACCGCGGCTTAGCCGGGAATTACGCTCTTGCGGCGGTGAACATTCGCACGGTACGGTGGACAGAAGGCCGGGGGCAGGAGAGGGAAGGAGGCGAGGCTTCCTGTGAATAAATGTCCTGTATTTACTATGTTGCTGGCTCACCCTCTAGTATGAGGGGTTCGGAAAACTATTAACCTGCTACCTGTGCTTCTGCACTAAAATAAGTACCATATGCGACGATTTTACTCTCCCAAAGAGGGGCTGGGGAAAGCCACGAACGCTCGACTCTTTGTGTAACTTGAAGAAGATTCTCTGTTGGCATAAATTCAAAAGCCAGGGGCGATATACAGTATACTCAGGACTTTGTCTTACATAGATCGGGTAAAAATGAAACAGGTTGCGAAATATGATTCCCCTTTGAGCCAGTGCATTTATAACAAATGGTAACAGATTTCTCCGTGCCCAGTTTACTCCCACCCGCTAGGTGGAGCTATTTACAGTATATATCGGAATAACAACAAAGACTCTCTGCTCGGTTTGCCACCTCATTAGACTATCCAACTGGCCAGGGGGCACGGTATCCTAATGGAGGAATGCCTCCGTATGTCCATTCCAAACGCCCCGCAAGGCTCTTCAAACTTGAACTGCGCCCATGAGATCGTAATAAGTGGCTTGGCCATGGCCGCTGTGGAAAGGAGCACTAGGAATGTCGGGTTATGCTGCAGCTTTTTGATCGATCGCAATAGCCTTTCAGTGATTCTATATCCAAAGCCCCAGCACACTTGGTTCATTGCAAAGGCGGTGGTCAAACGATGACGACATATAGATATGGCAGCCTTTGCTTGATGAAACGCTGATGTTCGGTAGAAGAAGTAAGAAGGGCTGATTGAGGCGAATCGGCCATGCATGTGGGCTTCGAATTAGATGTGGTGGGGTAGCAGCGTCATTGAAATTTAGATGACCGTTGAATGGCGCGTACAGCTTTCAGTCATAACGCCGATGGATACTGACTCCTGTGAAGTCTGATTGTATGACGAGACTTGCCTTCTGGCGACGGAATGCATGGTAGGGTTGGAATTCTGCGCTGCTTCTTCCCACTGACGAGCAACCCTTCCAGCCTCTTGTAAAGTATCCTCATGGTTGCCGCATATCATCAGCTTGGCTGCATTCCTGAAGCCTATCGCCCGGTTTTTCGGGTTTGACGCCTGTTTCGCCAAGAAGAGCTCTAATTCCGCAAAGTTCCGCTTGGTGAAGTCGATCTGCCCCGGACACACGCCATCAGGTGAGGAAGCGATACATCGTTCATGGTGTAAAGGATTGATCGGGTTGAGAGGATCCTGCACGGAGGGCATGATGAGAAGCTCGAATAGTCAGCCACAGGAGCGATATTTATTTAGAGCATGGCGTAGCGTGATGGAATGTCATTTTATGTTGGACCAATTTGCATTGGAACCGGCCATTGTAGACGTCAAAGAAATTCACCATGGGCTGGGCAAACGCAAGGACGCTCTTGTCTCTCACAGGAGGCCGTGATACCCCAGGACCCTTTACTTCAGCTTTGAGATTAGCCACAGCATTTCACAGAGCCATTACTTTGCTCCTAGGAACCCGTCCGCTCTGGCGATCCTCGTACCGTCTTCCCTAGAGCCATGGCGTGGGCATTTTATTTCCACACAGAAAACAAAGAACCTTGGCCAAATTATATATTCCGTCCTCCTCCCAGAGATGACTCTCTACATAAAACTGAGGTTATTGATGTCGACGAAATGGTTGTCCTTGTCTAGGAATACCACAACTTCATCTGTTCCGACAATATTTTACAATGGCATTGGCATGGGATCCGATTGATGTTTGTGGCATTCCTGACCCCAAGATTGTCACCACATGTATCGGACTTCGAAAAGATAAAAAGAAGTGCAACAATCAGGTCGCAAAAGGCTCCAGGGATCTTGCCCTCGCATTTCTAGATGACGTGGCCTAATACGGCCCTAGCCTGAGCGACCTCCGGAAGAAGTTAAGCAAGGTTTCGCACTTATTATTATGCCAGAGAAATCATCAAAACCAGGCGCCGGCACTCCTCGACGCATGGCTCCGCGAATATCGACGTCGACGGTCAACCGTCTTCGTCCCCGATCACCACGCTACCGGGTCCCGTCATGACCCTGTTGATCTCGCCCTCGAACCGCCCAGTCCCATGACGATCGATAGCGAGCCTCCTCGGCCCGAAACCCAACGGATGAGCGTCGAAGTGCTGCGGCGGAGGGATGTGCCATTCAACGTCACCCCCAGCCAGCCTGCTGAAGTCAACCTAGGGCCATCAAACGCCCCAAACGGCACGGATGCATCGTTGATCCTCCGGTCCATTGGGCAGGAACAGCCAAGGCAGGCATGCTGTATCTGCACAGAGATACAATCCCCGGAGGAGCCCGTGAGTTTGACTTGCGAACGATGTAAAACACATATCCACTTGTCCTGTATGGAGTCCTGGCTTCAGTCTCTGCCAAGAGGCAACTCATACTGCCCTGTCTGGTAAGTACTGTCTGCCCTTACCGCCTAACTTATGGCTAACGATCCCATAGTCGAGAAAAACGACGGTACAATACCGTATACACCTCGGGCAAGGCCGCAGACCGCGGACCGTCGGAGGTCCGAGGGGCGGGAAGGACCGTCGAGATCCCATCACAGTGCAGCGCCGAGGATTTGTCGGTGCCACCCCGTCGATCTCAACGGTCAAGAAGAGAACCTAACCGCTATTCACCATCCTGATGAGGCATGTTAACTATAAAATGACCGGGCTATCTCGTCGACGAACACGGTCACGCCATGGAAGGACATACCCGGGCGCTTTCAATATTTTCAGGTGAGTCCGCTCTTTATAAGATCAAGTGTTTCTCTGCTCCTGACCATCTACACTTGCTCGACTCCAGTACTTTTTCTTTTTATTTATTTATTTATTTTATTTTTTTTTTGGCCAGGAACATTGATCACGCTGGCAAGAAAAGACCAACCAAACACGATATCCAACAATCAAAGGAATGATGCGAGAATATTATGTGGATAGTAAGACATTACAGATACACGAATCACGCCCGACACCATTCACCACTACCTTGGCAATTGCCCGGACAAGGTGGAGTAAGGCTAGGGGACCGTCAGAAATGCTGTCGTTCGGCCGGTTATCTTTAATTGCAGCCATCTTCCGACCAGAAGACACGGTTATTTGCACACGGTATAGCTTAGCGTCTCAATGTACGAGTCTCTACGGGATGATTATTTCTAGAACACTGAAGACTGGGCTCGTTATTTGGCTTAGGTTCGGTACAAAGGCCTAAATAAGGTTTTCCTATCGGTACATCTCATTGATGCAGCCGAAGTGTTCAGAATCCCTTCTACAGCTTGTCACCTAGATTACAGAGAGTACGTCTAGTGTGAGGAAAGAACCCTCTTCCCTGCAACTGGTTGTTGGTGCCAGCCGGTGAAGAGATCGCGATGAACTGGCAATCCATGCGCAACTTACTTATCCTACGAAAGCCGGGAAACAATTCTTTCAAATGCGAAGCGGCGACCAGCATCAGCGCAAACATACACGCAAGTGATGGGGCGGGCAGGGGTACCTGAAAACATGAACGAGCCTTGGGCAGCGGGAGATACGCAGGGTACATAGTGTCCGCCAAATATCCTACCCCGTCCATGGGTATTTCACATACCAGACAAAAGGAGATGCTAGAGTAAGTGATGAGTTCGAAGGATTGCACGGCTTGTGGACGTCGAAGATGGGCATAGTACACCCTCCACCTTCAACGGGGCATAAATAATGACAATCCTTGCCCTTAGGAGAGCGTGCCTTAGGAGATACATAGCCTAAGCGGGGACTTGCTGCAGCCAATCCGCAAGCCTATGACTCTATATCAATAATATTAACTATGCACTTCAATATGATCTATAAATTCCATCAAGCCTCTTAGAGTCGGCGTCAAGTGACACTATAAGCAAGCACCTTTTCTTGGGATAAGAAAGACTTTAAAGAACGACCAGTTCCCGTCAATTCCACGGACCGTTTGCTACTGGTGCGCCCACAGAACCAGTGTCCGGAATAATTAAAAGGCGGCAATTCGGCTAGGAAATCTATGGTTAGAGACAAATTGAATTTTAGAGGTAAATATCACTTAATTCACTCAACTCGTATTGAGCGGAAAAGGAGTGGAGACAGGCATGGGTAAGAAGAGGCTCACTGTAGTCCTATCCTTAGAAATATTAATGTGTACTTCCATTACGCGGAAGAGCAGGCTGGGGATCTATTCCCCTCACTATATATTCCTTCCCCAATATGGATTTGTAAGTCATAAAGTTTGCTTCAAGCATATCTCTGATTATATATTCTGTTTCCTGAGTCTACACGTAATATCCGCTTTCGTCTGGTTTATCTATGATCTCAACATGACATCAACCTCGTTTAATTGATTATGTTAGCTTTATATATTCAGAACGTTAAAGCATAAATATCCCAGCTAAATTAATATTCTAAAGCTCACTGATTCTTAAACATGCAACAGCAGGTTGATCTATATTTTGAGTCTCATAAAAGGGTCCTTAATTGGACCAAAGAGTTGGAATTTCTGGGTTATCTCCTGCTAGAAATAGTGGACCCGCATGGCCTCGAAGAAAGAGGATTTTATTGTCACCAGGCGGCGGATCTCCCGGCAATTGTCGATACTCTTCGAAGTGCTTGCTTCCAGCAAAACAGCAGGCTTCGAGGTATATTAGGCAAACAAGCCTCGAAATATTTCGGAGGCTTACTTTTAAGATCGAAGCAAATACGCAATGCGACAGCTCATCATATCCCGTTAAGTGAAGAGAGAATGTTGATCCTACAAGAAACAAAGCAGGAGCTTGACCGCCAGTTCCAGTCTGTTATAAGTCGAGCTGCATTAAGGTATAACATCCAACAGGTATATAAGCCCAGGGTCCATATTTAGCAACTACAACAATTACAACATGATTTTAATTCCTAACCGATGTCAGATTAATTGGTATCCCGACGACACTGAATCCAGCGGAACAGCAGACCATCGAACTCAAACCGTTGCCTTGAACAGCGAGCCGCTACTTTACCAGCGCGGGCAAATACTAGAGATCGCAGCAAGGCGGCCAACTAGGTTAAGACAAAAGAACCGGAAGGGAAATGCAACAGAAGGAAGCCGAGCAGAACATTGGAATGCTTTCGAGGCATCTTGGAGGCGTAAGCTTGATAATGTGGAAAAAGAAAAAGCACGAATAATTGAGAGCAAAGTTCGAAAACTTCAAAAATTGGAGCAAGAATACTGTCGAAGGCGACAGGTGAGGCTGAACCAGATTAATCGGATTCTGCGCATGATAGAAAATGAAGATCGAGATCAAAAGGCTCAACGCAGGATGATTATTGGCGAACCATCAGGTGCCAATGTTAGCGTGGATGCACTTTTCATGCTTATTCTCTTAGCCATGAGCTCTCCACTTTGGCTTTTTGGATTGGTTATTCACAGAATTGTGATGCGGGGTACGAGGTAAGGCTGGGGAAAGATCCATTGATATTTAATGCGCGGCTTTGGGAACAATGCCTGTTCTGTAATATAAATTGATACTAATAAAAGTTTTTAATTCGTTTGCCTTCTAGAAACTTCTACCTAGGTGGTAAGCATTGTGAGACCGTAAACAAGGCGATGAGATACCGAAAGGCCGGAACTAGCATGGACCGTAAGCGCTCAGTTATTGACTTCTGCATGTGGGGGCACTGAATCGGCCCTCTATTGAATAATGCCTTTTCCAGTAGGAGAGATCAACAAGGAACTTTTGGATGCGTCTTGTTTTACAAGGTTGTATTGCAATCGTCTTATCGATCTAATTTATCACCGAGAATGAAGGGTTATAAATAATCGGTCCTTCTTCACAACGCTTACTGGTCACAAACAAAATATTCCTTTTTTGACTTTCACAATGACGCAGACCCAACAACTTGCAGATAGTACTTTAGAAGAAGGCGTGTCATGGCTTTCTCTAAGCGAAATATCGCCACATACTCGGCTTGAAGACCTTATACAGGATGAGTTTCGTCCACACCTGGAAAGCCACCAAGGAAGCTTCTATTCCAATTAGAGGTACTATACTCAAGGCAAACAGGAGTGAGTATCAGGATTTGATTCGATTTGGAGGTGCGCTTCACTTAGCAGCTTCCGGAATCTGTTGTATTGTAAAATCGTGTATCTATAGTTATACAATATGAGCTTCGGATTGGTTGGAGATATAGCCGATGCTATATGTAGTAAAATTCGTATCCGAAATCCTAAAGTTTACATGCAGGTCTATGTGTTGAAGTGCGACGAGCATAAATTATGCAACTGACCCTAGTCAAGTAGGGTTGACCCTTTCTCGGCTTAGTGGCATTTGACACTATGGAGTGCTTGCTATAGTTATAGAGGTTAGAGCTGCAAAGAGTGATGCACATGTGAACGGTTATTCCCAGCCGTCGTAGGCTCTATCACGTGTGCCGGTTCAGTCTAACTTGCTTAGCACATTTTACTATGGACAGTCAACTGGTTAACTGGCTGTTCAATTGCCTAATAGCCCATTGAGGCGCAGCAACTCTAGTTCAGGCCGGCCATTTCAAGAGGCGGGGGAATCAACCAATGGCTTGTTTTGTTTTCCCTGTCCGAAGAAAGAGAGGGGTACGAGGTGGGATAGCCAGCTTGGACAGATATGACTTGCTAGCGAAAGATCTTGGAGGATTGGGGATATTGTACATACTTCCGGACCTGGGTAGTGAATCTACTTATCCGATGTACAAATTTCTAACGTTTATCAGATGGTCAAGCCGGCTCCCGAAGTCAGCAATTAATGAATCACGGATTTCCATGATACAAATACTGAAGGAAATGGGGATCCACGCAGAGGCACGAAACAGGAACCTACATAACGCGACAGAAAAAGAATTAGGAAAAATCATGTCGCCCCTAGAGACTTCAGTGGACGAAGTGATAGGTCAAGGATTTTCGCAAACACCCAGATTGAATCCAACTCCAAACCAACCAGACCCCGAAATATATGGTCACGGAGGAACACATGTGGAGTATTATTCAGATACACAAGGCAAATCGATAGGATGACAACAATCGGACAAAACGCTACATACGTGTAGCCGATACAGCCTCATTCTGCCCTTGTCTCTCTGAAATCACAACACTCTATTCCATCACCCCTGTCGACTGAGATGTTCGCGTTTGTAAACAAGCAGCACAAGTTCTTTCCTTGAATTCAATTGGGCTCACCTTTTTGAAACGATGACATTTATAACAAACTAGCCCATCTCCTCCTGTTGCACCCCCAAATTGGATCCGCAAACCAGGACGGTAACGATGCCAACGCACACCACATGGAATACAGAACCGGTTCTCTCTCTCTGGAGACAGGATAGGAGACAATTTTCCACGATGGCCCTTCATCATCGCATTGGAAAAGTATGACGCTGACCGAATCTTGAGACAGATATGACAGGCAAAATAGTCAAGGAGTGCTATTGGCTGTTTTGTGCCCTCTCCTCGTTGTCCTATAGTAAAGCGAGGCCATCGCTCTATCTCAAGAAGATCCTTCATAGTATAAGTTCTGGAAATCCAATGGTCCTCCATAACTGAGTATAGTGCTTTGGATGTCCATTGAATGGCTAGTTTTGATGAATAATCGAGGTGGTTTAGGATAATAAGAAGAAGTTCGGCAGGTAAAGATAGGAAGCCAAC